AAAAGTCGACGCCTCCCCCCCCGTCGTTTCAACCAGACAGCCATTTGTAATCCATAGGGGGGGGGCGCAGAAAAAGTTTGGAAACCACTGGGGGGGCGCAGAAGAAAAAGTTTGGGAACCACTGCCCTCGATTATGAGTTGAAGAATACTGAAAAAATTGAGTTTATTTCCATCGTTATGAGTTGAAAATATTGAAAATTTTAAGTGAAATATTCCTTAATCATAAGTTGAGAAATATCATTATTTATAAGATAACATTGAGATAATTTAAGGCAACTACACCTGTAATTTTTATTTTATGTACATTTAAAACATTTAAAAACATCACTAAAATATTTTTGTGTAATCTGTTAAATAATTTTTGAGTTCTGTGAACTTGTTAGGATTCACAGAACCCTAGCAAGGGTTCTGTGATCCCATTTCATTAGTTTATTATGTCATTGTCGAATAAGTTTAATGCTACAAGTTGTAGAACGTTACTTGCTTTAACACACACACACACATATATATATATATAGTTTTATTACAGTAGTGATCTGGTACAGGTCGTGGGAAACAGAAGAACTCTGGCTAAGTCAGCATTACATAGTGTCCCAACACATGCATGAAGCTGTGATTGAACTGGAGAACTCCTTCAGTGACAGACTGCTGTATCCTATGTACACTAACAAGCATTACCATAGATCCTTCCTCCCAGCAGCTATTAGACTTTATAACCATCAATGCTCCCAACAAACTCAGTATTTACTTTTCCATGTGACATATTTCTTTTTCTGTTATCTAGCTGGGGCTGAGCGTCTGTGAGTTTCAGTTTTCATTTCTGCACTGACAGCTTTTCATTGTGCCACAATGTGTTTCAAGACCTTTGATGTTTTTGTCTCTTGTGTTTTAGAGTCTATCCATATATCCCAATCTTCCAACGTCACTTGAAAAAGTGACGTGCCAATCAGCCGGTGCAGCTCATCTTTCCTACAACGTGTTTTAACTTCCTCAGAGCCCCACTACTCTGCTGGACATCTGTCTCTGCCATGACACTCTCTCTGATCATATCTGTCCTCAGTGGGCATGGAGTCAAAACTATATCCTTCACCCAAATGTCAGAGCAGACTTATTACTCATTTCCCAACTCTCTAAATAATTTATAACATCTTATGTCTTTTACCTGGAACGAGTGTTTAAACTTAACAAGATAATGGTGTTTCATTCTGGTGAAGAACCAACTTCAGTATCACCATGAGTAATACTGATGACCCTTCTGAGGAGATGCCATAAGTTTGCATCATTTCATCACCAACATCAGTTTGAGTTTCCATTTTAACACTGATATCTTCAGTGGATGTTTTTCTAAAGAAACCTTTGCACCTGTCATGTATTTACAGTGATGTGACAACTTATTTACCCATCTATCTCTTTTGGTTTTTTTTTTTATATACAATTAAATGATTTCAGATCACCAAACCAATCCCAATGCTACACAAAGATAGTCTGAGCAGATACAAAAATGTAATGGTCTTTTACAGAATTGCACAGATTTTTTTTTTAAATTTAACAACATTGAAGAGCTGAGCAGAATGTTTAAGGTCCTGCCAAAATGTCACATTGGGTTCAGGTCCAAGCTTTCAGTAGACCTCTCTGAAGTTTTCTGTTATTTTGCTTGTTTTGTGTTTTTGTTGTTGTTTTGTTTTGTTTTTTTTTACCCAGACAGGCAAACTTCTTGAAGTATTTTGGACCATTGTCCTGCTGCATAACCCAACTGTATTTGACCTTAAGGCAACAAACTGATAGCTGACCCTCCTTCTTCTGTAGTTTTTGGTAGACGGCAGCAGTGCAGTCAATCTGGTTTTGAAGCAGCAGAGGAACCCCACAGCATCACACTACCACCACCATGTTTAATAGTAGGTACTATATTCTTGTTAGTTTTCCCCCAGATAGTATTTGAGAGAATTTTGCAAAAACATAAATATTTGTGTTCTCAGGTTACAGAGAACACAAATGAAGGTTTCCCTTCATTAGAATGTTTTTTTTTTGTAGATGTGAGATGATAGCTTATGTTCTTTTTGGTCAGCAGTAGTTGTGGGTCGTTGAAGCACTCTTTGGTTTTTATCTGTTCTTGAGTTCCTTTAGATTGGAGCAACGTGAGTTGCTTTTTGAGTTCTTTAGCCTACTTCATGTTATCAGACAGATTCTGTCTAAATGATTTATTCATTCTACCAAGCTCAAGCTGAACTCAGTCTTTCTGTTTTATCACAAAATTACAGATACTGTTTTTTCATGCAGCCAGCTTGGATTGGGTAGGTCTTTTTTCTCTAAAACGTGAACGCATGATTTGAAAACAACTTGTATTTACTTATTTACTGTTAAAATTAGTTTGAAGATCTGAAACATTAAATTGTGATAAGTAAGCAAATCCAAAAGAAGTCTGGCAGTTTGCAGTGTAGTAACAAATAAAATAACAAACTATCAGAAACTTTCCCAAAAAAGCTTGAGTCCAGCTCTACTGAACAAAGTTGTTGTTAGTCACCTTCAAACTGTTAAGTGTGAGGGTTTGAGAAAGTTATTCGGTTGACACAGACTTTTCTGAACAAAGGAAGACTTTAAGTCAATCAACCCCACATCAGAAATTGCAGATGAACTGAATGTTAAAGGGCTCCTAACCATCTTTAAAACACAGTCTCCACTCCTATACAGTAACACATTTGGCATTCCCCAACACATGGCTCAAACTTTATGCACAACCTTTTTTCTACAAACACACACTTCCTATCCTTGCCCCCTCGCACCCTCCCGTCACTGTGTAGTGTCAAATATTCTTTGGCACAGCCAGGGGTTCTTTGCCTTGCATTTTTCACTCGCAGAACAAGACTTTTGATTCCAGTCCAAACCAAGGCCTCAGATCTAAAGTGTTACCAGACTCTACAAATGTAACGACTGAAATTTCTAATGTATCACTGACTTATTTACATGTTTTAAATACAAAGAAAGTACATAGTACTTTAATCTCATATTTAGAACAAAGATTACAGCATAAAGTAACATATACCCTTATTGTTTGCATCAATGTCGCAGGGATAATTATAGTGTGTTCCTAATTTACGAAGAAGGGAGTTGGGTTCAGTGTCGTCTTCTGAGGTTTTTATGTCATTTTCTTCGGTGGTTCTTGATGCAGCGCCCCCATAGGTGAGGGAGGGAACGGTTTTTCAAAGGTTTTGGTTCGTTCGACACAGTGCAGTATGAAAGTGAACTACTTCAGCTAAAACTGTAACAACTGTTGCTAGATATTATTCTGGGTACATTTATGACCTCTTGGAAGATTTATTAATGCGCTCTAGGACTAATTTTGGTTAGTCAGCCATTTCTCTGTCTCTGGATAATGGCTGTTGCTTTGGTTTGTTGGAATCATAAAGCCCCCCAAAAAAGTGTTTTTGTTTCACTGGACAAATCAAAATGTCTGATTTAACAACACAACATTTACATTTCAGTTGGGGAAGGTTGGGTTTGAATACTTATTTCCCCCATTTATAAATGACACTCAGCCCAGGTTACCTTTGTCTGATATTGAAAGTGGTTGAATCATCTGAAACCTTCAAATCTGACAAAATCAGAAGAAATCTGGAGATTCAGACAGACTGAACATCAAAGATGTAGAATATTAATTAAGTCTATGTTCTCATCAAAAACTTGGACAACTATATATTAATATTTTAACAGATTGTTAGAGGGTAGTTTTATTGATACATTGTGCCACAACTGACCCTTTGAGGACATACGTCATCTTGATGTGACCTAAAATGAAAATGAGTTTGACACCCTGATTTAGGTCACATGTATCAAACTCGAGGCTTGGGGGCCAAATATGGCCTGCTGAAGCTTCTTATGTGGTCCTCTGGACTCCAAATTACATCAATAAATCCTTCCAGTTTTTCACAAATGTGCAAAATGCACACAAAATCAACAGATCTCCACAATTCTTTCTGATTTTTACTGCAATTTTTTCTCATAATTGGACAAAAACAAAGAGTTTAAGTGACTGCTGCCTCAGTGTTACTTGATGTCAAGCTGTAGTCTGTTATTGATAAGGCGAGTAAAAGAAAGTCACATATAACGTCATACATTCCTTACAAATATTTCTAACTTAGCACCACAAAATCTATGATTCTGATTGCAAGAAACCACAAAAACAATCACGAAATCTTGGAGGGACTTATCTCTAGGAAAAAGTGACATGACAACCAGCCGGCTCAGCTCGTCTTTCCCACACCATGTTTTAACTTCCTCAGAACCCCACTGCTCCAGTGTGAAAAGATGTTCATTATTTAATTTTAAGAAACACTTATTGAATGGTGAAACAAACAGCTAGTAATTGATATTTTAGCAGTTTAATGGTTTTATCAATATATTATGGCACAACCGGCCCTTTAAGAACGTTCAGATTTTTGATATGGCCCAAAATGAAAATGAGTCTGACACCCTGTTCTTGATGATGCAGCAAAGATATAAGGAGGGAAAAGTTATACACCTTCCCAGTGCTGAGGTGAGGGTAATCAGAAAACCATTTTCACTCCTTGATGATGTGAACCTGGCAACGCTGGCACCACAATCAGTTTGGTCTGTAAATAAACAGATCATCTTCGGGAACCTGTGAAGCAGCTCACCATGTTAGCTAAATTTCATATCTAACAACTACACCCAGTTCATTTTTTAAAAGTGCTTTTGTGGACTTTCTACTCATGGACAGATCGATGCCAGTCATTCTGTCAGCAGCGTGCTCCCACCTAAATGTCCGCTGACAGCAGTACTGCCTAAGATGTGGTGCTGTGGTTTTACTTTCCAAGAAAACCACTTCACAGCGTAATCTGCTGCATCGCCGTCACTGTCTGAATGTGTTCCTCGGCTGCAGCAAGGCCTTGCTTATACTGATTGATGTGGAAATTTGTGAAAACCCGATTGCTTTAGACAACAGTATCATCTGCTTGGAATAAAACAAAAAGTGACCTTTAAAGTATTTTTGGGGGGCGATTATTTCTCTCTATCTCCAGTGTAAGACTGTGTGTAGGGAAAGGGCTGGGAATTTTTCTCACACTTTTCTTTCATGTTTATCAACAAAAGCAACACTGGAAAATAAAGCAATGTGCTTATTACATTTTTTTTGTGAGTGGAATTCTGCATCCTTTTAAACCTGAACTGTTACTACTTCCCCAGATGATAGTATCCGGAGAATGTAAAGAAATAACATGAGAAACACAGTAAAATCAACAGAAAATTAAAACCAAGCAATAAAGTGATACTTGATAAAATCAATGAAGCTTGATTAATTAACAAAGTAATGTTGAAATGTAAAATGTATTAAATGTGCCCTTTTTTGGCAGAGCAAATTGTGTACACTCTCAGGATGTTCATTTAAGTGACTACTGAGTGCTCACTTAGAGGAGGGGTTCAGTTATAACGTGTGTCAAACTCAAGGCTCGGGGGCCAAATCCAGGTGAAAACATGTTTCTTTTAAAATACACACTTGTAAAGTGCATCTAAAATAAGTTTCATATGAAATGTAGCACCTCCAGCTCTAAGCCGAACTAAGAGTTGTGTTTGCTGGTGGAAAATGAAGTTTTAAATTATGTTTATCAGAGATACTAAAAACAATGTCTACTTGTCGCCATGGTGAAATTCCGACTTCGTTAACTGGAACTCTGATTTTGGCACTAACTGGAATGCAGCAACAGATCATTAGGCAACTTACAGTTCCGTTTTTTTCCTGGGGCACATTGAAAGAGGCACAGGTGGGTAGAGAAGCCAAAAATGTTACTTTAGTAAAAGCGTGCTCCCACACTCAATTTATTTTAGTCATGCACAAGAAAAAAGCAGTAATCCAAAACAGAAAACAAACAAAAATAACTTGAGTAAAACATCTGGCAAAAACACTGCTTTGATCAAGACATCTGATTTCATTTGGGAAAATTAAGACAAAAATCTAAAGTTATGTATGACAAAAGTAAAGTATGACATTTTTTCAAAATGATTTTTTTTCGGCTCTCGTGGCCTTTATTTCACAGCAGATTGACAGGAAGGCGGGTTATGAGAGAGGGCAGAAAACATGTGGCAAAGGTCAACTGAATGCATGCACCAGTTGACCTTTGCATGAGGTAAAGGTAAACATGTGGCAAAGGTCAACTGAATGCATGCACCTGAGTCCTGGATGCATCCAGGACTCAGGCCTGGATGCAGCATGGTGAACCTGCACCCCCTCCGCCCCCTGCCATAAGTGTGGTATTTTTTAAGAATGAAGTAAAACATTTAGAAATTAAGTAAAGATTTGGGGTCGGCGTGTCAATGCCAAGGACTTAACACCCCGATAAAGAAGACTGGTACTGTTCTTGGTCGACTCTGGACATGATGGTGCACAGTATTATTCTTCATGAAATCAATTATTACCAACTCTTTGAAGAACATTTTATCATACGAGTTGCAATTACATTTATTTTGCATCCGAGATTAATAAAGTGTTTTTGAATTGAATTGAATGTTAAAATTAAGTAACCTCATTACAAAATAAGTTCATTTCCAAAATGGAATGAAGTATATTGAGGGCTATCTATAATATGAGATGTATAAATGTGTTGGGAACCAGGGTTTTGGCTCTTTGTCAGGATTTTCTGTTGCCTGCTGCTTCCTTCTTCATCCACTAGGTGGTGCCTAGAGGCTGCAACACCTTGGAGGGCGTGCCCGCTGACTCAGGTCAGCACACGTGTAATTCATCACCTAATCATCCAGGAGTTTATGAGGAGCAGGCCGCCAGCACTTTGACGCCTGAGTGTTTGCCTGTTATGGTACTCTTTGAACCTCTGAGCTAGCTCTGCGCGTTATCTCTGAAATAACTTCTAGTAATTTATCCTTGTTGCCTCTCTCTCTCAGGTGTTTCCTTCTGACACCTTGGAAATTCCCCTGTGAAGCTGGCTTTCTGGATTTTCCTCCCTCGTGATGCTGTGGATTGTTACCCACTGGTTGCCCAAGTACCTTCTTTGCTCCTATATACTTTTGCCATAGTACCCTCAAGAAATTAAAACTACTTTCACCCCTGCTCCTGCAGATCTCCAATAAACCGTTCCTGGATTCCCAGCTGGCAGTCGGTTCGCTCCTCTTCTCCGCACCTGAACTTACCTGTCCGCCCTCCACTGCAGCCTCCACATCACCAACAAAGAACTCACTCCGTCAAGACCTCACACTGGAACCCGGACCACTTCAAGGACACCCACAAAGGGACCATACCCTGGAAACCACTGTATTACTCCCCTGGTGGAAACCTATCTTCACATCAAGTAAGATCAGTCTAATTCTTCTCGAAGTTCCAATTTCCGACGACCTCAAACTCACCATTTCTTTCTCACTGTTCTTCAGTGTACAGACGACCCCGGTTGCCAACCCCAAGCACCAGACTCACACAATCTCACTTTTCATTAGTGAGGGGTAGATGAGGCGTCATGTAGCGTTTTGACCCATAGCAAAACTGTACTGATACTGTGTCACCAAGTACTGACACTTGCTGGACATCAGAAATCCCTACAGGCAACGTAGTTGACAGACTGATTTGATGAACATAGGCGTAAATCCTGGGGGGGTGGTCAGGGTAGTCCGGACCCCCTCAATCTTGGAAAAGTCTAGAATTGTCCCCCCCAAAGAAATTATGAAAGAAACCTTTGTATTTAAACAATATGAATATAAAAAAAGGCAATAGAAACAAATAACGAAGTAAATCTGCCATTCCTCTAAGAAAAAAATAAAATAAAATTTTTAGGTCCCACCCACCATTGTTAGAACAATGGTTCAGTCCAAAGTGCAGGCGGAACAATAGCAGCGCTGAACGACACAGCCTCCGTCAGAGCTGCTGAAGTGAGGAGTTAGCTGTGGCTCTGCAGCACAAATGACAAACCCTCCAGTAAGTAAATACTTAAAGTAAAAGACATGTTACACATTTTATTTACTTTCACTGCTCAATAGGAAGAAACGCATGAACAAAAATCAGACCGCAGTTTGTTCATTTTATTGCTTTGGTTGAATCATGATAAACTGCCACCTTATGCCTTGGAAATCAAAACTAGCAAAACTGCTACATCGCTTTCATAGACTTGGCTCTGTTTTCTGTCGAAGGTAGCCAGTATTTCAATTATATTTAGCTCTTTAACTCTTACTTTAATAAGAAGAGTTTGAAACGGGAGCGGCTGAGCATGACCACTAGCTGACAGCTCTGTATAGGAGCAGAAAGCAGAGGAACTATTGCAGCTGATGGTAAAAAAAAAATAAAGTATGCCTTTATTTCTTACCATCTTCAGTGTAGAGCATTTAAAACCACAAAATAAAATCTGAATATTTTTCTAGAAAACTCTGGTGCTAACCCATAAGTTTAAGTTATAATCCTTCCCAGATATTCAATTTCCACATATTTAAAGGTTCTCAGCCATCCAGGACATGAAAATAAATAAAAGCTTAAAGCAACTTAAGTTATACTTTAAATAACACATTACTTGTATTGAGTACCTTTGCAACAAATCAATATTTATGAAGAACTTTATTAAGTGGAGTTACTTATTACAACTACGTTAGCTGGAGATAGGCACCAGCACCCCTCCTGACCTCACTAAGTGACAAGGGTGTATAAAAAATGGATGGACTTATTGCAACTTGTTTTTAGTCAGAGTATTAAGTTTTTGTAAAGGTTTAGCAGAGATTAGATCTATGACTCTTCACCAAACTCATATCTAAACATTTGAATCTTAGTTTGACTTCTATGGGTTTCAACAGTTTGTTTACTAAGAAAAACACTTGTTATTCATTGCTACTTACTAGTCATTTTTGGTGGTGCAGCTTAAACACAATAGAAAACTTTTTCAACCACATTTTACATTATATTTGACTGTAACTTTGCTGACCACCCCACCCGAAAATTGCTCTTAAAAAATTTCCGTGTTTATGGTCCCCCCAAATAATGAGAAGGGATTTACACCCTTGTTGATGAAGTCTGTACAATAAGATTTGTACTTATTTTCAATCAAAATAAGTTTTTCCAACATTTTGAAATTTAGTCTGTTGCGCTTTTTTGACACAACTTCTCCTGCTGTAGAAAAAAATGAAGTAAACAATACATTTATATGAAGTAATTTATAAAAAGCAACTGAGTAATTTGTAAAATGGCTGTATGTCTGAGTTTATCCTAGGTGTATCTGGGACTCCATTCTCATGCCTGGCCTCATAATGCCTCAGCATTGAGGAGGTGGATTTATTTAAATAAGACATTTCTGTCAAACGTATGCAACACTTAACCTGCAGAACATTATATGAAAGTAAACTAAGAGTCAATTTCAGCTGAATTTGGATTCAGATAGATCAAGTAGAAACTGAAAAGAACCAGATGAAACAATGAAATGACAACAAATACTTTATTTTCCGATGTAAGATCAAAATGGTCCCACACTGTGGAAGCTTTTCGTTTGCCTTGAGACTGCTCCACAGTTGATGCTGTACTGTAAAAGATCAAGAATTATTTTGGTAAATGCATTTGACAGATTGACAGATTCACTTCCTTATAAACACAGTTTTGGTGCTTTAATGTCATTTCGAAACAGTTCCTGTATCGGTCACATGACTTGCTCAAAGCAATACGTGCACCGACACGGGGTTTGGTCTATGGGCTTGAAACCTGCGCCGAACCATCGGTGTTGCCGGACCCATGACTACTTTTCATCATCATTGTAAAAATAAACTTTATCTGATTATCTGTTCTCCTGGTGGTGGTCTGTATGTGGGTAAAGAAACTGGAACCCAATATGACAAAATGAATACTTTGTAAACATATTTATTTACCAAGCCAAATGTACAGATCAGTCAGGAGGCAACAAAACCAGTCAGAGCTCTTTTTCATAGTGGTGGAGGCAGCAGCACACAAACAGCTTCAAGAATCAGGCATCATTATGTTCGACCATCACTAATGTACATGAAACCTTGAAGCAGTGCGTTTTGCCAGGACCCATCTTCATATATGCAGTAACATTTTAAATGAAGGAAATAATTTGGTTGTTGGTGAATACCTCGAAACACATTTGGCAGAAGGACTTCTGAATGCTCATAGTGCAGCATTCAGAATGTCTTCAAGGACAAGAAAAATGGTTTCTAATCCAACCTGACCTCCGATGGAAATGGATCAAACAGTGCTGTGGATCCGTTTTGGGACTGAATTCAGTTATAATTCAGTCCCAAGCCTGATCCAGTGTGTCTGCCTATGTGCTGCCGCAGTTGTAGCAACAGTAACAGTCACATAGAGGGCCAGAGAAAAGAGCAAAAAATGATTCAACATTACTTTCTATTTCTTTTGGTATCTTTTCACCAGAGCATTTAAATATTGTTTCCCACCAAGTGCACATTGTGCAGTAGAAAGCAAGAGCAATAAAAGCACACAGAGTTCCAGAAAAGCAACGAAATAGAAACATGGCATTTTTGTACTCGGTGACACTGATACACATGTTTAAAAACATATTTAATACCAGCTTACATACAATATGGCTTTTTCTGGAAAATATATTGTGAAGGAGCTCTCTGCATTCCTAGAGATCAAATTATTTAAGGTGCCAAAGTTCAATCTGAGCTGATAAATCTGTCCTGTTGAGTATTTCTTGCCTTGGGTTGTCCTCTACGTCAGCGTGGATGATGGAGCCCTACCTGCCTGGGCACTCTGCCCACTCATGGCCGCAAAGCAGCAGGAAAAAATGTATGCTTCTGACTTTCCTTTGTGCACAGGCCGCCATGTTTTCAGAGAGGTGAGGAAATGCCGCAACAGTCATAATCAGTCAGATTTGGCTGATATGTGGCTGACAGTGCAGCTCTCTTGCCATAGTGTCAGGGTCCTGTTGACTAAGGACGTCCTGCGTGGGAGCATTCTGAATGAAAGTGATCGAACCAAGGACAACATGGGTCGGGATTCCCCACAGGTTAGGAAATGACCTAACCTGTTTGTATTTAAGGCCCTCAACCTGTCACCTATCCATCGACAAAGCAGCAGCAGAACCTCCATGCAACAAGAGTGTCAGAACACCAGAACCTTGCATTAGCTGGATCTTTATAGTGACTAAATCTAAGCCGATAACAGAAGTACGACAGGCTAAGGCTTAGTTTTAAGTTTATCATCTGGACGTTGAGTGGAACTGAGTCTGTCTGCAAGCCATGGCCGGATCATCTACCACCACATGGAGTGTCCTGCTGCTGCTGCTGCCTTTTTTCATCTCTTTTCATCAGACGTCGGCTATTCCTCTTTCCAAAACTAAGCACTGTTGCAATGAGACAGCTTGTAAGGATGTTGGTGTCGAGGAGTTTAAAATCAATTTGAAAGGACTGGAATTGCTGAAAGAGGTAAGGAAGACACTGGGAACGCCATACTTCAGATATCTGTGCTCTGCGTCATGAAGGCAGCAGGAACTGGGTACAAAGTTCTGCTTTGGGTTAAGAGATGCACTTCACAATCTGACTGACTGACAAGATGTAGCATTCTGGTCGTCATGTCACCCACTGAGAGAACAGATGAGTGTGTGTGTGTGTGGGTTCAGTGATGCAGAGATAACTTTGCATGCAGTCAGTTAACTATCACTATGGCTGCTTTGCTGTCTTCAGCTCTTTTTTAGTTGTAACGCTTCTGGTCTGATGTATCTAATCCTGTTTTTCTTTGTCTTGACAGAAATGCTCTGGAATCTACAACTTTGTAAGTACAACCGATACATTTATTTTATTTTTTACTCCTGAACGTATCTGATGTTTGATTTTAAAAACACAAAGTGAAAGTTTATTATGATTGCCTTGGAGATAGCAGTATGCTTGCTAGTTTCTTTTTGGGGCTAACCTGATCTAAGAATCCTACTCTCTGTACTCTCCATTGCCATTAAGCTGATATATGGACACCAGTCTGACTTTGAAAAGAATCCATGCTTTAAATAGAAAAAACAACCTTGAAATATTAAAAATAACTTTTCTATATTGAAATAACTTTTCAATATAGTGTTTATCTTGTTAACTCCTGACTGTAGGTCAACAGGGACTTTTAAAAAGTCACACATCTATTTTAATGCAGTGGGACTTTAAAATGATCCAATATGTGCAGAAAACACAGCAGCACCATAGATAATTAAGAGAACTATTCCTGTTAAAAAAAACCCAACAACTTTACAAATAATGATGGATTTCTTATTTTCATTTTATCATGAAGAATTAAAAAGTGCTAGATTAGCAGGGCTGCCGGAGAAGCTCAGCATCACCATGCCTTCACCACTTCCTCTTTCCTCTGCTGCTGTCACACATGAACCAGCTGAGGTGGTTAGATGAAGACCTGTGTTATGATTGCACAGTCAGCATTTGCACTCTCTGGGAGCGATTTGGTGGTTTCATGCAGTAATGAATAACATGTCTGCTTTATCCTTTTGCTTTTTCCTGCAGAATTCATCACTCCTCTCCACTCTTCATCACCTCCCTACAGCAGAGGAGGTAAGGGTTCCATTTCATATTTTAACTTTTTACTCATTAATTCAAAATTATTCAAGGAGTTATACAAAGCTATTAATGAAAGTATGGCTGATTAAAACACTAGCATTTATACATGTAGTGGATTTTCCTCTAGAAGCGTTTACCACAGATTTACTGCTTTCACTTATTAGATGCTGTTGTACCTGAAACAGATTAAGTAAAAAAAAAAATAAAAATAAAATAAAAAAAGGTGAAACTTTAAATGGAACTATTGTTAAAATCTCCACCCAGATGGAAAGCTTAAATTCTTTGGAATGACCCAAATATTAAGTGACATCATGAAAGAGCTTTGCAGTGGTCTGGGATCAGTGGCATTTTGTGGTCAAACAACTTGGCGGCTGTCAGATAACTGTATGTGTGTTTATTTTATAACGCCATGTTTCTTCCTCTGCGCAGACATGTGCCTTTCCTGGTATTTTCAGCCATGGAGTCAGAAACCTGCTCAGCCTGGATTTAACAAAATGCAACTTACAGAAGGACGATGTTGCTGTCAAGCACCTCAAGCACTTGGAAGGCAGGCTGAATATCACTAATAAATGCCCAGTTCTGGTAAGTAACTATGACACACTTGCTGTCTCCAAAGGGAGATTGAAGTTTTTATTTAGTGGTTGTTCTGCAGAAACATCTGGAAAGGCTCAAAACTAAAAATAACACACTTGCCAGGAAACCACTGGATTTCAACATGACATAGCAAACAGATAGGGAAGCAGTAGCTAAAATCTTATGAGTGGGAAGGAATCTTGCAAGAAGAAAACAGAACAGGCTTCATCGCTTTAGTAAACATGCAACGCCTTGAAGTAGTTTTGTGGTTTGTTTGGAAAATGGCAGCATTGGGTCTGACTGCTGTTTCTCCCTGCAGGTGGACCTGTACTGTAACAACACCACTATGGGATCTGCTCCCATCGCCTCACTAGAAGGTTTCCTTAAAAACCTGAATAACCTGCTGGAGAAGTACCACGAGACATGCCCCTGATAAGGCAGATCAGAATCCAGTAATCCATCAGACTCGGAGCTTTAGGGATCACTGCTAATGTCTGAAAACTGGACATCGATATATTTCTCAGAATGTTGAGGAAGACACTTCTGAATGTTTTATACCTCCTGGCTACTTTCCTAAAATTATCATCTCTGTGCAAAAATCAATGTTTCATTGTCAAACATATTATTATTATTATTATTATTATTATTATTATTATTTTACAATCAATCCAGTTTCTACCAATTCTTTTTTTATTATTTAAGTTCAGAAGAACCAATTTGGTCAAACGATTCTGACTAAAACAAAGAAAGAAGTAATCTGCCTAACGAAGTGATCAAACACTATGCGAGTATAAAACAGTACATTTGTAAAATGTAACATCATGAAGTTGATCATGGTATGTGCTATGTGATTTTAAAAGGTTTACTTATTTATTTTATTTATCATTAATTTATCAACATACAGCAGACGCATATTGAGTTTTTATACTTTAGCTTTGTGTATTTATATATGTTAAGAAAATAGTTGAACTTATGTGATTTAAACATATAACTGAATGTCAACATCATACTGATGTCTTAATGAGATAATATGTAAGAATCCCCTTCTAGTTTGGTCATATTGAACAGTCCCCTCGTTTCTTTACTTTTTAAGAAATTTGTTGTGTTACTTTGGTCCTTAAATGTTATTTTATAGTGCATGAATAAAGTAATCTTTAACAATGTATTCTCTTTGTGAGTGTATATTTCTGCTTTACTCTATACTGACTCATTGATTGGAACCATGTGTGTCACCAGGTGGAGGCAAAAAAGCTCATAAATTGTCAGTCACACAGAACAAGGATGGAGTCAAAACTAAATCCTAAAGTTAGTTATTACATCCTCAGTTATTACAGCTAGAAATTAGTGATCAGGCCCAAAATCTGGGTGTGGTGATGGAGTCAAAACAACCACCCTCCCCCACAAAGAGAGAATAGGCGGCTGTTAATGCTAATTCAGTATTTGGCCAACATGGACTGAACGGCTTCGTTCACTTCCTCTGCTGCTATTGCTAAAACTACAGACAGAAAATCGACGTCATCGTTCACAACTTCTTCTGTTCGCTGATTGGCCCGGTCGAAAATCGACCGGGAACAATCGGAGTCGAGTGGAGAAAGTCCAGACTCTGCTGGAAGAGAAAATTTTTTCGAGCGGAATTGCAAAGGAAGGGAAAACTGGTAATACACTCAACAAATATTAAATATATTTTTGGTCAATACGGTACTTATTTTACAATAAAAATAATTGTTTGTTGGGGCAACAGCAATGGAATTTGGCAATAAAAATTAAGATAAACCTTCAAGCTTCAGCTCCGTCTACTGGTCTTTGGCGCCCTCTACAGGATTCTTTCCAGCAACACAGTGAGTAAGAAAGAGTGTGAGAGAGAGGAAAAGAGAGAGAGAAAGAGCGAAGGGGTAACAGAACTGTGGCTTAACCTACTGAGGAAGTCGCAGCTAAACCAAACTACGACAGTTCCAAAGAGGCAGACTCTGGGGCACCGACCGCAACATGCAGCCGCCACCCAGGAAGGTAAGAGGGTCTAAAGAAGGAGAGCTGATTTTAAAACCTACTTTCACTTTTCTGCTTGCTTGACTTGGATCACATCTGAACAGTTCAGATTGAACTGTTATTTTAAGGCTATTGCTTGATTATAAAGCAAAACTGACATTAGGTTACTGTGTGTGGCAGTGAGATATTTGCAATATTTTAAATGTTTTTACTCTTTGGGGGCGGGGGGGTGGATGAATCAATGTTCTCCCAGCTTTTCTTGAAACACATTTCATTTGAAATATTTTTCAGTTAGCATCAAAACTTAGTAAAATTAGATGTCTGATGTCCAGTATAAACTGGTCTAAGAATATCTTCATGAATTTACTCTGTTGATTATGTTCACATTAAGATGAGATATTGACCTTTTTCTGCAAAATTACTGAGTTTTCTCATGTCTGAAAATAATCATGTTAGTAAGTAAAGGGTGCAGTGCAGATTAAAACTGCAGGTTATTGTTCTGACTACTAAATGAAAGGGAGCTACATGTTAGTATCTCTGACAAAAATGTTTGCATGAATCTGACATTGTATTGTGTCTTAAACACAAAATTAGAAGTAAAATCTGAAAAACAAAGCGTTGCATAGACATTTCAAATCACACTTAAGTCTTTACTATAAACATGGATGCTCAAAAATTTAATATGCACCAACATGGAACCCTTCTCTTTTGATTCAAGGTGATACCAGGGAAAGTCTCTTTCTGCCCTACCATCACAAACATAAATACATCTAGCTAAACACCAATGGAACTTCAACTGCTTTCTGAATATGTCAGGTTGGTTTGGTGTGAAAACAATGAATAATATATTGAGCAGCTGCTGTTTATGGGGTGGAGTTTGCAAAGTTACACTGTCAAAAATGAACAGCAACAATTTGGTCTATTTAGCTTGTCATAACAGAAATAAAGAAGGTTCATTTTTCAAAGTCATATTTTCACCATGTCATTCACTCATTTATAAATGCCACTGTTTCAAGCTATGTATTTACTTAGCAAGCTAATAAAGCTTACAAACTAAATATTTAGCACCAATTTAAATGCTTAGTTGGCAATCTAAATAAGTAACTTCAAATTAAATACTTGGCGAGCTAAATGTTTACTTTGGAAGCTAAATATTTAGTTTCCTTATCAATTGGTTCTAGATATCTGATTCCATCTCCCTCCTGCTGACAGTGTGGACATGCTAAGCTGCTATCAGCATGTTCTCTGTTTCCATATGACTCAGTAATTAAACCTGCTGCACCAAACTTCAATGCAGTTCAAGTTAATCAGAAGGTTCCAGTTTTATAGACACTGCTCTTTTTCTATCAATGTCAAATTTAAGAGGTGGTTTTTCAGCTGCTCTCTCAGAGCTCCTTACCACAAACACACAGCAACCTGCTGCTCGTTTTCCTTCACTATCACACCGACTATTCACATCATAAACACAGGCCATAATCTCTACTATTTTGGATGGTGGATTAGGCTGTGCTCTGTTAGCACTAGCATAGCGTCATCGCTGTTCTTTGTGGCAGGCTGGTGAGATGTGAAAACTCTTCTGCCATTGGGGGGCAGGAAGGAAGATGTTTCAGCTAGCCTGCAGACGTTAGCACTTCTCCATATCTACTCATACATCTCTTGAATTGGGTCATCGTAAACAGGATGTTTAGCAATGGCAAAGCTGACGGTGCGATTCTGTTCTTTAAGTCATAGGAGCAGTCATAAGAGCCAGGCAAGAATATGATGAGAAAGTTCACATCTCACTTTTTGTGGTTTCTACTGGTAATGCATTGTAGTACACGCTATCGCTTTAGCTGGCACCATGAGAGAGCATAACAAAACTAACTGAACTACTCATTTACACTGTAATTAGGTAATTAGCACAAATTACATTTGAAATTAAAGTATGTCTGTCAGTTGATCAGTGACGGCTAAACGCATGGATGAGTTGTGCTGCAGGGAAAAAAAGACAAAGTTCAAACCAAAACTTGGTGGTGTCGACGGAATCAGAGTCCTTCTCTCCATAAAAGGTGAAAATACAGAACAATTCAACCTGCATATCATACAACATGATATGGAGATTGTAATCAATATAACACTGCTCTTACTGTTCACCAGGATCACCACAGAAGCAGACTGTCTCACCAGGGCACATACTGCAACTCCATTCCAACAGTCCTTTACACAGTATGAGTGTAAAAATGAAGGCTTTGATTAGGATATATTAGAGACTTGGAGGAAAAAAAGAGTCAGTGGGTTTTGGTTTGGAAAAATCAACCAAAACCCACACAGCATGTTGGATTGACTCAAAGCCAGTCTCCTTTTCAGTCACAGAACGCCCAAACCACTGCACAAGAAAAAATACCTGCTGACCACATTTAAAAAAATAGCATCCCTAATAACATCAGCAGTTCTGTTTTTTAATGCTTGCAGAGGAAATTGCTCTTTGGTTGGTACCTCTGGATGGACTGGAGTACAGTTGACACTGGCTCACCACATCCCATGCTGACATGATGCTTCAGGGCGACTGAAGGAGCAATGCCTACATCCTAAATTAGCAGAAGGACCTATGTTGTAGAAAGAATGTGACATCACTTTGTCCTGTGTAGTTCTGCATAATATTGTGCTAGACCAGGGATGGGCAATCCTGGTCCTGGAGGGCCGGTGTCCTGCAACTCTTAGATGTCTCCCTGGTCCAACACACTTAAATCCAACAGCTGAATCACCTCCTAAGTGCAGTCAAGTTTTCCAGAGTCCTGCTAATGACTATTTGACTATTTGTCCTCCATTATTTGACTCAGGTGTGTTGAAGTTGAGACACATCTAGAAGTTGCAGGAGACCGGCCCTGGAGGCCTGGAGTTGCCCATCCCTGTGCTAGACAGTTCATTGCAAACTATTTTTTATGTCTCCTGTATGGCAGTGTGGTACTCTGAATTGTTTTTTGAGCGTCAAGGTGAGGCCCAACAGATTTACTTCCAGTGATACAGCTCTCACCATGATGCTCATCTTAACATGTATGTGAAACTTTATTAGAACTCACTTTAGGCTCAAATGTAATGGACATGCAGATGGTAAATAAAGGAGAAAGCAAAGGGAAAAAGGTGGGTAAAAGTTTTAAAGGTAGAGCCAAAGGTAAGAGGAGAGAAAGAATCAGAGAAACCAAGTCCACATCCCAGAAGTCTGCTCCTACACCTGCAGAAAGAGAAAAACTGGAATTGCTGATAAATCTAATGAACTGATCTAGGACTGAAAGGCTGGTAAACAGACATTCATCCCGTCTAAACTGTAGCTGCTAAATATTTTTGCTAGGTAAGAATGCTATTAAAATACCAAGTTATATGACACATTAACAGACATAATTTGGTCAAACTACAAAAAAGCTTTTATAACCGTTTTGTCGTCAATGTTAAAAATTCTACTGACAAATTCCTAACAACATGGATGAAGAGTTGGATTACCTGTGAAGTTGTGGATTTGAGGAAATGAGAAATGTCGCCATCCGAGGAGGAATGGGGGGATGGGGGATGGAGGATAGCGAGTTAGAGAGAGAGAAACTACTGTCAGAGCAGAGTGGGAGTGGGGGGCATAATACGAGATATTTACGTGAAAATAATAATACAGGAGCACGTATTATAATGTATAATAGCTCATATATTGGGATTGGCTGGTAAGTTTTTGCTAAAAGAAAAAAAAGTCCCTTTGTCCCTTTGCATAAGAAGCGACAGACAGGAGGGACAATTTGGAGACGCCAAGTTGCATCTCTGAAAGTTTTGAAACAAACTTACCAACCCGTCTCTGAACCTCTGTGCAGGTAAAGGAAAGCCAGCAGGTGAAGCTGCTGTTCTCAGAGCAGCTCAGCAAACTGCAGTGCAAACAGCACCAGGACACTGAGCTGTTGGAGGAGATCAGGTGGGTCATAACACAGATTGGGGGACATCTGTATGAACCCCGCCACTCCCCCCTTCATACCCTCCAACGGGATCACTGATAGGCTGACGGATCAATGCTGACATTCAGTTGAAGCAGTGTCATATTCTGTTTGTCTCTGTATTCCCCAAGGTCCTTCAGTAAGCAGAGAGCAGCTATAGAGAAGGAGTATGCTCAGGTGAGGACACATGGTCTATTTCGGTCCACTGCTGGCCTGTTTACTGGCACCTTTTATGGTTTTACTAGGAATCGTCATCTTTATTGAATTCCTGTCCTATATTTGCTTCTGATATGACATTACTGGGCCCTGCTGTCAGGAATAAGATAGTGATGGCTTCGAGCTTCAACTCACCTGTGGATGTTAGTTTTGCACAGCAGAGCACAATACTGCAACTACTTTTGTAAACGTGAAAAAAATTAGGATGCCTCATTAAATATTCAGCTCTTTAGAAAGAACCGCTCACATTTTGAAGTCTAGTCTTTATCACTGGAAAGGAAATGATTTCATTACGAGTAAATACAAAAATAAACCCTGTTATGTTCATTAAGCAAAAATGCATTTCCTGAGCGAAAGTTAATAATCTAAAAATATTTACTAAGCGCGATGAGTGTGTGAATTTCACTTTTGTTTTTGTACTGAGGTTTTAAAGTGGCAGATTATGTGTTTTTCAGCCACATACCGCCATCTTATAGGATAATAATTAATAACTCGGTTTGTATTTATCACCACGTGCACACATATCTGTACCTACCCAGAATTATTTTTAGAAAGATATTCTGGTTTTCATGTCTCCTCTCTGTGTGTGTTCTCTGCTGTGTGAAACACATCCTGATTCTTTATGCAATTTAGATTCTTGAGATCAGATTATTTAAACATAAAATGTTATGCAATACTTATTAGAATAGCACACTCAAACATCAGTTAAAACTATCAAGCAACAATACCCTTAAAGATGGAAAACATACTTCCTGCCAACCTTTATTCAATTATACATTTATTTATTTTGGTGGTGGGTGGAAAATAAATAATGTATATATCTGTGTAAAACATAGTTATTATTCATAAGGTCATCTCGTTTTCAGGCTCTTCAGAGATTAGCCATCCAGTACCAGAAGAGAGACTGGCAGAGAGGAAATACAGACACTGTGATTTCTGGGTGACTAACACACACACACCCACGCACACACACACACACACATGCACACGCACATGCACACGCACACATGCGCACGCACCCACACATACATAAGTTTATATTTCTAATAGAACTTTGGCTTTGTATTAACCTCCATTAATTTTAGTAACTGCATTTATGCCTGATCCAGACACTACTTAGTTTATTACCAAAAGTCCACACACACACAGATACTGTACTCACCTATTTTACATTACAACACTTTTTTATCCCGTCTTGTTATGAATAACACATTGTAATGCAAGTCAAAATGGAGGGTCATTTTCCCCACACAGGATAAACATGGTTGTTGTTGTAAACTATGCAGCCATTGGTGTCTGATTCTGTTACACAATGAGCAACAAAAGTAAGAAAAACTTTATGACTACCTCCATCCTGTCTCACTCAGCAAAACATTTCATTTTTAATAAGGTGAAAATTAACAAAGTTTTTGGTGAATTATCAGAATCACAAAGTTACTTTTTAAACTTTATTCCCATTGTTCAGGCTCCTAAGGAGACAGTACTAAATCAATAACATGGTTAATGCAAACATGATTATGGCACAAAAATTAATAAGTAATATAGAGGAAATCCATTGTCTTTCTGTTTAATACATCTCCACAGAACAGATGTGGGAGCACATTATTTTAACAGTATATTTAATTTATCCTTTATTTAATATTTTACTTGCATGTCCATATAAACAGGGACGATGCATAAAAATGTTCAAGTTCACCAGTTTGCAGCTCAAGGCCTCTTTCCTCTGGTCCCACAGTGAGGTTTACCTTATTAAAATTCTGATTCAGTGACTTTCTGTGTGTATATTGTTTATACTGTATTGTGTAAGTGTGAATTATTGTTACTGCTGTGTGTGTTTTCAGGAGTGTGTTTGGTGTGTGGCGATCGGTGGTGGACGCCACAGCTCAAACTGCCGCCTCTCGACTCACTGCTGCAGAAGAATACCGCCGGCTTTTTGGACACGCCTCCAAAAGCATCCACAACGCCAAGGAGATCCACGCGAAACGAGTGAGACAGCATGCGAACCTTATGCTGAGGATCATTTAGCAGAGCGAAGTAGCCCCTAAGAAACAATGACGGAGAAACAACACGTTGCAGGTTCTGGAGCAGCTGCAGAGGGTGCAGGGTGAGGTGGTGGACGCACTGCGAGAGCTGCACAGGGTCAAGAAGAACTACCACCATCTGAGTCACATCGCCGGTGTCGCCAGAGAGAAAGCAGCTGACGCCCAGACGAGGTCAGAGATTCAGTAAAACATCGTCCCTTCTTAGGTTTTCCCTCCTGGAGGGTTTCCTCCAGTGTATTACAAGCCTGGCAGGCCACCAGGCTTTACTTGGCTCCCCACCAGGCTAAGTGTTTTATTTTAAATTGATTTTCTTTTTTTTCTTTTTTTTTTTTTACAAGTAACGGTGATAGTAAAGACGGATTAAGGCAGGCAGGTTTATAGTTCACACATTGAACTGGGCGTGAGGGCTGTCCCTGCACCTGCCCTTTGGCTACTATTTCCAAATTACGATGCCAGCTTGTGCACCTCTGAATTTTTGTTAACTTTTAGCATTTTTTACCATGTTTTTTTAACACAAAAACATGGTGGTGGACTGCCATCGTGTCCCTACCATCTGGCTAAGCAGGTTTTCTGGTTGGAAATTCTGCACATGTATGGTTTATATTATCTCAACTAGCTGCAAATATTCTCTTTACATAGAAATCCAAAAAGCTGAGGGGCTGTTATCATCATAAAAGCTCCCGTGTGGCCGTGATGTGTGTAATGATGTGTCACCAGTCAGGCCTGTCACAATAACACATTTTGCTGGACATCAAATTGTACCAGAAATGATTGCAACAAATGATAATATTGTTGTTTTGAGACTATTTACTAATATTGATAATGCTATAATGTAAGTTTTCCCTCTCTGAGACCAAACACGGTTTTTGTATTGTTTTTTACTCATTTGTAATATGTATTCATTTCTACCTGCTTACAGAACTAGAAAGAGTGAACATGGGATTTTCCATTTCAAATCAGGTCAACATAAGATGACTGCTAAGGTATGAATATGCTGTAGCTGTTTCTTTTTTTTCCACATTTTTCTGTATTTTTGGGATCCAAAATGTGTTGTTTGATTCAATTTGATTTAGTCTGTGGGAACTTGATGGATCTACAGTTGAAACCAGAAGTTCACATACACTGAATAAAGAGAAGACATCTTTTTTTCTCACTGTCTGAACTTAAATCGGACCAGAACTCTCTTGTTTTAGGTCAGTTAGATTTACTAAAATATTTCTATTTGCTAAAGGTTGGTCTGATTTAACTTAAGATAGAGAGAAAAAAAAACATGTATGTACATTTTTATTTTTTAGTCTGTCTATGTGAACGTCTGGTATCAATTGTTTTCTCAGTAAATCGGTTTTGCTTGTGAACCTAATTATTTCTGTTTATATATATATATATATATATATATATTTGTTTATGTATAAACAAGTGGATAATCTTATAACTCATGAGAAAAGCCTGTAATTAACTAACCAGTTACAAGATGTTAATCACTGTAAAAGCTGTATGCAGTGTGTAATTGAGACTGAGTAAAGTGCTCTGTTGTGCTCAGTTGTGTGCGTGTGTGTGTGTGCATGTGTGTGTGTGTATGTTTTTGCAGCTCAGTGCCAGGCTGAAAGAGTGTGAAGACCGTTTGAACGAAGCTCGTAACGAATATCTGCTGACCCTTGCAGCCGTCAACTCACATCACCAGCACTACCACACTGAAGACTTACCTCTCCTAATGGAGGTGAGAAACTCACACACTGACCAAGTGGAGGCGAGGGCTTCTCATATTTGGTTATAACCAACCAAGGATGCGACTAGTTTTTCTTGTCGTAAACTGCAGTTCAAAAGACATCAAATGTCTCTTTAACCATTAAAATCTAGTAAAAGTGACTGGTTTCCTCTGCTTTCCTCACCAGCAAATGGACAGAGACGTTTATGATGATTTGAGGCACCACTTTACCCGGCTGTGTGGGACAGAAATGGACACCTGTCTGGCCTCACACAAGCAGTTCAGCAAGATAAGGGATGGTGTTGCTAAGGTTTGTACACATACACACGCACACACGCACACACACACACACACACACACACACACACACACACACACACACACACACACACACACAATACCTGGACATTCCATGGTAAAACTCTGGGATTGGCCATTGCCATTGTTGATTATATGGCTAAAAATGCTTCTTGAGTCAATGTTTTACTAAAAAAAAAATTTTGGCTTATGGGGGAAAAAAACAGTTTTCCCCAAAAATGAACATGAAAACAACCTGTAAAATGAAAGTACAAATTTACAAATAGACTTGTCATGATAATAAATTTTGCTGAGCGATTAATTGTCTAAAAAATTATTGTGATAAACGATAATATTGTTTCAAGACCTTTTGACACTGATTTAATGGAAATGACGTAATAATGCATGCCCTTTCATAGATAGATACACTTTATTTTCAAAAGAACACATAACACTGGAACTGATAAACTAAATAACCAAAACAACCAAAAACAAACAAAAAAGGATTATCAGTCTCCATTAACAAAACAAACGTACTTGAATAAAAACTAAACAACATAAAGCCAAAGTGGAAATAAATACTGCATTCAACAAAAAGAGTGCAGATTATGAAGTCTGTATACTATATTGCCCTTCAGTAATCACTAGATTTAAATAGAGAAGATGGGCACATTCATACTACACAATTTTGTGCCCCTATTTTCCCCTTATAGCAATCTTACAACGTTGGCCGTTCTAAAATTGTCGCTGGTGATTTCGTAACCGATCATCCTGTACTGTGATTTAGATAATCGTGGCCGTTCCGATCTAAATGAGGGGTTTTCCCCGACTGGGAGCGTTAACGCTGAATGTGACAGGTAGCCAATCAGAAAGCGCGGATTCTCCTTGGCGCTTTCTGAGGGGAAATTACGGAGGGGAATCCCAAACAGCTGACAGGCGCAACCCGAAATCCAGCTGACATCGGAGATGATATGTGGAAAACAACATTAATATTTATCCAACATTTCGTGCAAAGAATATAGAAATGACAAGGGGAGGAGTTGGAGCGACACTGCTACTGCAGTTGATAAACCCGGTAACTTTTCAGTTGCTCTTCGTTAATGTGACATAAATAGGTTATAATGATTTTCATTCAGTCAGGACTTTACGCTGATTCTAGCCACACGCGTCACAGGTAGATTCTAGTAAAGCATTGATTAATACCTGATTTTAAAATTAGTTAACTGGACTTGTAGCCATTATTTTGTGCCCTAGTTGCTGGACACCACACGGCACGACGAACCCGATCGAACCGTTATACTTTGGATTTCTGTCGGCTAATGTGTGGTCTCTAGTGTAGTGTGCGCTGGGCATTACACTAAGGAAATGAGGAAGGGAGGGTCAGTGCAGAGCACCTGAGTTGAGCCTTTTTTCATTCAGTGTCATCA